CCCCTGCCCAAAATCAAACTTAGGTTGTCTGCATTTGACAGTGTAGCGCCTGGCCATTCACAGAAGCTGGTACCGAGCACTATGTAACATTTTAAAATTCCCTGCGAGTACGTATTTATGCATGCATGTATAACATTGTTTGTATCCATTGTAAAGAAAAACGTCCCTTTGGAAATCAAAAATAGATGTGGAGTTTTATTTGTTTATATTTTATCTATAATAAAACAAATGACAAGAAACAAGAATGATCATACCCATCGTGAACAGGGCACAATTCTCACAGCGTTTTTGGTTTAGAGATGTTGCTCGAATGGAAGAAAAAAAAATCAGGTATCTCATTTTCTTATAAATGGTCTACTGCCGTTTTCGGATAAGCTGTGTAAGGTTCAAGTGACTTGACTATACTTAAAAGAAAAAAAGAAGAAAAACTCAGGGCTATGAATGGGCTCTGGCATCACGCCTAACAAGCTGAATGTTGACACAGTAAACGGTTCACGGACCTGACAACCCCCCCATGACCAAAAATAAGAGTTTTTCTCAGAATCCTCTCTAAAAAATCAGAGTTTGGTGAAAAAATCAGTCTCCAAAACCGCGGTAAATTCAGATTACTTCATAAACTGATCGTGGTAAAAAGAAAATGTGTATTTTCGTGTCATTTATGATAAGTCGGGTACAAAAATTGAAAATGTATTTAAAAAAAAAAAAATCTGATTTTATGCAAATCCGATCTGAGTCCTCCCATAAACAAGCAAAAAAAAGAAAAAAAAGCAAATCCAAGGAAAAAAAATCTCCAAAAAAATATTTGTTTAAAAAATGGAAGGGCTCCAATTTTATCGAAGTACTTGGCAAGTCAGGTCTGTCTTTACGAACCAACGTAGGTACGGGACATCTATTCTGGCAGGTGGCAATGAACAATTTCTTGTTGAAGCTATTCATTGCTGTACTCAGTACTGACAAAATAAAACTTCAACTTTCTTCATATAATGTTATGGTAAGGGCAAAACAATTAACAGAAATAGCCTCAAAATTAATCAGAATCGTCAGCAATTTTTTTTTCAGTTTAAGTAAATTAACAATGAAGAAGGAGAGATAAGGACGGTGCAAACCACACTAGATCAGCCACCAACCAACCACCAGAACCTAACTAAATTACTAGAACTTATCAAAAACAAAACACTAGAGAGTACACTTGACAAAGCTGTACAAGAAGTCTACGTTGAAAGTCACAGAGGGTCTTTTATGAGAAAAACTGCACACGATCCATCCAAAGTATATAAACATGGGTATCGATTCTGAATAGACGGCATCAGGAGGTAATTTATGAGACAAATTTGAAAAAAAACAACAACCCGCACACATATATATGTATAAATTTTCCGTTTTAGCAATGGGTGAGTAAGTAGTCTGAGAGTTCAAGAAAAGTCTAAAGACACATTTTGTCTATTGTGATACTATCCTTTGCTGTCAATTCTAAGTTTTGTGTGTGCGTGTGTTTGTGTGTGTGAGTGTGTGTGTGAGTGTGTGGGTGTGAGTGTGTGTGTGTGTGAGTGTGTGAGTTTGTGTGTGTGTGCGTGTGTGTGTGTGTGCATGCGTGCGTGCGTGTGCATGTGTGTGTGCGTACGTTATGTACACATATTGATGGCAGAGAAAACCATAGCGTTCCTGCTACTGTGATGGACAGAGGTTTGAGGATTGTGATACTGAAGGCACACTGGCCATCGGGTCAGCCGGGCCGACTGGGATGGTCAACTGTGTTGTAATTCAAAACCCAAAACCACTCAAAATTGCACTTGGCAAAAATACGTAAAAAGTGTAGAACTTTATTATAATAGATCTAGTCTAGATCTATATATAGATTCTAGCACATGAAAAAAGATTTCATCATTTTTTTAAAAAGTAGCGTTCGTCTCGAAAAATAAAAAATATTACCTTTGGGGAAGGCATGATGCAAAGTGGGAGGGTAAAAATCAAAAGATAATTTGTCATGAAGATTGTGTAGATAATGAGAAGCACGATCATAATTTTAGATGGACAATTTCAATCATTCAATGGCTTATGGTGCAAGGCTTTCTTATCAAATGCTGACCACTGTTCCTCCTTTAGCTTTTTTTAAACAGGAATGGCCAATTTTTCACAAATGGGTTTGTGAAATTTCATCTTAGAATAAAAGTTGTATTGTTAATCTAGATCTAGATCTAGATCTAGAAGGAATCTCCTAGAATTTTAGTGTGAGGACCACCCAAAGCATCACCCGTAGTCTTGACCAGTTAAGCACCAGGACCAGTTGTTGCCAGTGAGTAATGTAGCTTTAGGCTCATTCAGAATAACTAAAGAAATGCCAATGTCAATGATTACAAGATAAGAATCGTGCCGTTGAAATTAAAACAAGGAAGTATACATACGATGATACGGGAACGGTCTTTATCTGCATCAGCAAATAGTTTACTTTTATATGAAAATATAAAATGACTCTCAATTGTCAAACTGAATAGGCCTCGACAGAAATAGAATCTAGATCTAGATCTAGATTCTAGATCTCTACAAACTGAATAGGAAGGATCATGAAATTTCTCTTGGCTTTTCAACAGTTTCAGTTTCATTTATTCAACATAAAAGTTCTAGATCTAGATCTATATTTAGCTTCCATTTTACGGGCTTAAAGCATTACTAACATTACCTGTAGCCCAGCCCGTACTATGAAATGTTCAATTAAGCTATACTTGGCGACACAAACCTGAAAAACAGTAGCCTAGCCTATACATTTTCGTCTTTCCTCAGTCCGTCAATAAATCAACTAAAGAATCTACACAGACAAACTAGACTACCGGTCTATGGACAGAAGGAGTCCATCCTACAACAATAGCCTACATCATGCTGTTATAAGGGTTGATAAAAGAACACCTGGTTGCCGGTAACTGTTGTTATTTTGGGTGTGGGGTCATACAGAAAAAGCAAGCACAAAACTGGTTCCTTACCGTATGATTGACACCCCACATGAACACACTGAGAAGCGGCTCATTTGCTCGAAACAGTTTCAGCTTTGGAGCCACTGCTTTCACTTTTATTTGTTTCCGCTTTGTCGATGAAAGATTCATCTTGGAAATATTGCACTACAACGAAGCAAAGGGCAAAACACCTCTGTGAGATGTGTGCTCTCAGATGCAAGAGTCCTGATTAACTGAGAGGAATAACAATATTGGCATCGTCCTGTCGGTAGGCTGGAACTGAATTGTAAACAAGATGGCGCTTCCCAGCATCCATTTACGTTAGGCAGGCTACTCTGGAAATATTTCCCCAAGTGCAATGTGAATTCACAGTTATCTCGCTTTGATCAAGATGCATCAATCGCCAGATACGTTCCCATTGACAACCATTCTAAGGTTGAAGAATCTCGGATTCCCTTTGCTTTCTGAAAGATAGTTTATGTGTAACGCCAGTACCACGACTTTTTACTATTTATTTTTCCGTTTCCTCTTCCTCTCCTCCTCCTCTTTCATCTCCTCCTCCTTATTATTACCAATAGCCTCGGCCTATCAATAGGCCCTTTCACTATCATTATATCATATTACCGATATAGGCCTATTTAAAAGTTAATAGCAGTATAGTATTTCCCATTCAAATGCTAAAGTAAACGAAGCAAGTTCTAATGAGACATAGTGAAGCGAAAAAGAACACAGTAAGGTCAACTGTGACATTTAACTTCAAATATGAACATGGAAAGAGCAAAATTGTGCGGAGCCCATTCAAGTAGGAAAATTTCTGTTTCAATAGTGAATAAATGCAGAAACAAAATGTAACATGGCAAGTGCAAATGCAACAAGGCTGCCAAGGGTTTCTAAACAACTTATTCACTCCTTTTCGTCCCCTCTGTTAGTTAGAGACGCTGACTTGAAGAAATGATTTCCAATGAATGGATTAGAATCTAGTTCATAAACAGCAGGCTACTTAGGCTATTAATTGCTTTGCTGTAGCAAATAAAAACAAGCACACATACCCCCACACTCAATCTATGCACATCATCACTGCCTTTCTCACCATGGATCAGGGTAGGCTACAGGCCACGAACAAGAACTTTCCACCCTTTTCTATCCTGGGATAATCACTTGATATGGTTCTATATGCCTTCCACATTTCTGTACGTCATTTTCTATCCTGGGATAGTCACTTGATAAGGTTCTATGTCTTCCACATCTCTGTACATCATTTTCTATCCTGGGCTAGTCTCTTGATATCACTCCAAGTCTTTCCACTTTTCTGTACATCATTTTTTGTAACCCTACTCCTGGTTCGGCTTTGTCCACCGCCCTCATAGAGTTATCTCCTTTATAAACCTAGTTGTGTAAATCTACCACCTAGTTGTGTCAATCTACAACCACCCTCATAGAGTTATCTCCTTTATAAACCTAGTTGTGTCAAT